CGACCAGCACATGGCCAGACTCACTGACAGACTATCAGTGCACGTCTCAGACAGCTGCAGCAAACAACAGAAATGAGCTGAATCTCCTGCCAGCCGAGCAGGACGAGCTCTGTAACGCTGCAGACACCCTTTTGAATTATGCAAGATTCAGGTTGTCTGCACTGCTCGTGCCATGGCTTGGGTGACGCGCCACAGGCGCAGCTGCATTGCCCCTCTCGTCCCCCCCCTCCTCCCGGGTCCCACAGGTAGACAGAACCCGGTCAGCTACCACAGCAGTCTCCTTGCCAGAGGATTTTCAGGAGTCATTAGCAGGACTTCCTGGGGGTGTGTATGCGTGTGATAACAGTGTTATTGAAAGTTGAATAAAATACCAACATTGTTCTAAAGCAGAATTCTCTCAACAGCAGATCATGTGATCCTGTTGTTTTTTTCTCACACATGCTACACACAGGGTGAAACGGTAATCCTTTTAGACAGACGTAATAAAGGTGCCATGATTCACTATCCCTGCTCTGCTGTTTCCCCTGTTAGCGACAGGTGTTGAATGCACAATCTTCATCTTCCTCCAGCTCCTCCCTCCCACTATAGTTTATGAGAACACTGGAGTGGGCTTCCTTTCTCGAAGGGGCTTGTCACGATACAGTAACACAGGTCCCCCGACCGAATTTGGCTGTGAGACAGTGTAGCAAGCTGTGACATGTACAAACACATCCTTCTCCTCTTATCTTCAGCTCAGTTATCCCACCTGTCGGGTGGATGAGGGAGCTGGGATAAAGGGAGCGATAGAAGGTCCAACCCGTTACTGGAGCGGAAGAGGCAGCAGAAGAAAAGACATTTTGGATGTGTATTTTTTGATGTTTGTGAAAGTTTTTGAAATAAATCAACTTCACTCAGGAGCAGGGTCCTTCGTCCAGACAGGCTGAATTCTACTGTCTCTCTCTCTTACACACATCTCCTCTGCCCTGAGAGAGAAGGTAATCTTTAAACAAACATTTAAATGACAGAAATCTCATTGTTTTCCCACTCAGCCAGCATATATTGATCCCCTGGTTCGAGCGGTGCTCTCCGCATGTTTTAAAAAAAATCCTCATTCTTTACCCTCCTTTTTTCCCCTCACCTAATAGTGAAGATGGGCGCTGAGGACAGCATCCATAACATTCAAGATGGAAAGGTAGTCTTTAAACGAGACATTTAAAAGACGCTGGGACCCTTCCCCCATACAACTAGATCTTGAATCCCGGTTCGAGCAGCGCTCTCCGCACGTTTAAAAAAAAAAAATCCCCATCCTTCCTCCTCTTTCAGCCCACAGTTTTTTCCACCTGCCATTGAAGGCAGGAGGTGAGGACGGGTGTGCAAACACACAGGGTGGATAGGTAATCTTTGAACAAACGTTTAAAGGATGCCGAGACGCCCCACCATCCCACCGGGCCCCCCACTCCGTACATTCTGATGATGTACCATGGTAGGAACGAGCGCTCTATGTGGAGGTTTCTCTCTTCTTGCTCGTCAGCCTCCCTTTTCACCTGCCAGTGCAGGTGTGCGCTGAAACTGAGCCCCACTAAGAGGTGATTGATTTACACGCTCGTTCAGACTGCACAATCTCTCCTCTACAGACGACGGAGGCAGGGGCGCTTCATCTTTGCTCGACAGATAGACGACATGAAACGCACACGCGCGTTGGCTCCCAGAACGCAGCTCAGCGTGGAGGCATAAGTGCTTAATGATTGAATTGATGTGCCAATCAATCAACAAGGGCTGCACACTGCAGCTTGCAGTAGCACGCTGAGGTTCAGCAGAGTGTTGGAACTTGCCAACATCTCCGGATCAGGGCATGTTTCTGAAACCGGATTAGAAGGACTCCTGGTGAAAGACGGGAAGTTACTGGAGTTTTTTCCTTTGCTCATTCATTCGCTATTTGTACATTCCCGAAAAGCGTGAAAACGGCACTGCAGCCCCTGCGCACGGCAGGGGTGAGAATCTTTTTCACCTGGTTTTTCACAATAAACTGGGAGAAAAAGTGCAACCATTGCCCCCAGCTCATCACCTTTCTGGGGGTGCACCCAAAACTCGGTCACCATGACAGCCCTCCTGTCACAGCAAGGAAGGGAATCCCCTGATGTCACTGCTTCAGCATGTCAGGGTTCAGAGGTCAATGTCATGCATCTGCTAAGGATGTTGTCAGCGGTTCACGTTGTTTTACCGCATATGAGACGGCGGCAGTTTTTTCAATCATCTGCTCCTCAACCCCACACGTCACAAGCACTGCATGGTTACCATCCCCCGGTCGGTAGGGGCGGATCTGAGTCACTGGGGAAACCCCCAGAACCTGTGGAAAGGAGTTCCCCTGGGCAAGTGATGTAATTCATTTCCGTGTTCACAGAAGCGTCCCTCTTAGGATGTGTGTGTGTGTGTGTGTGTGTGGGGGGGGGGGGTCTGCCCCAGACGGTGGGGCGGACATGGCCACCCCACACATCTCTCCACATAAACGTGCTGGAACTGCTTGCCGTGGGTAAAGTCATTAGACACTTTGCCCCGTTGCTGCGGGGTCATCACGTGATATTACACATGGACAACAGAACTGCGGCAGCTTACATAAATCGCCAAGGGGGCGTTCACTCGGCTCAGCTGCTGGACGCAACCAGGGAGCGACTCTGCTGGATGCACACGCATCCTCACTGAATCAGAGATGTTCACATCCCAGGTGTGCTAACAGAGGAGCAGGTATTATGTCCAGGGGCGGCTCCCTGAGACAAAGATTGGAGCCTCAAACCAGACCTGATCCTTCAGATATGGAGCAGGTTCGGGAAAGCGAACTTGGATCTGATGGCCACTTGAGAAAACACAGTGTGCAAATAGTTTTTCTCTCTGAACCCACAAGATGCATCAACGCTGGGAGTGAACACATTTGCACACAATCCGTGGCCTCAGATGTTGCTCTATGTTTTTTCCCCCGACCCACTAATAGTGCAGCTGCTGGAGTGGGTCCAAGAGGAATGAATGAGGGTGATTCTGATCGCTCCACAATGCACGGGTGATCCATGGATTCTGGTTCTTCCAACAGCTGGCGAGCGAACCATGGAAATTGCCGTGGCAAGAGGATGCTCTCTTACAGGTGGGGGGAACAAGCAGGAGCCCCCCGGTGGTAGATCAGTGTCTCTGGGCCTGGCCGCTGAACAGGAATGTTTTGAGAGATTGGGTTTCCCTCAGGACGTGGCTCAAACGACCCAAGGTGCATGCGCAGCTTCCACCACGGCTTGATATGCAGCCAAGTGGGCAGCTTTTCAGATATGGTGTTTGGAAAAGGATGTAAATTTGATTTCTTGTTCCTTAAGTTACGTATTATCTTTTCTACAGCTGTTGATGATCGGAAACCTGGCATTCAGCATGATTAATATGTGCAATGCAGCCATTTCCTCCTGTCATGAGGGTTTTAAGGACAGAGTAGTTTTTAATCACTCTCGGATGAAACTATTTTCAAAGGGTTGTCTCAATGGCTACGCAAAGTTATTTCGGCGACTGGCCTTCTTCCTCCTGATGGACTCAGGGTTCATTCCACCAGAAGGTTTTCAGCCTCCACAGCAATGCATGGTGGTGTGTCTCTACAGGACATCTGCTCTGCAGCTTCCTGGTCGTCACCGACTTCTTTCATTTGTTTTTACCTGTGTGACGTCTCTAATTTGTCTCTGACACACTCGGTTCTCAGAGTCTTGTCTGAGTGACGTTACAGCCGTATTCACTCATTTCACTTCATAAGCTGCTCGCTTTATTCGAGTGGATGCTTTTCTTTCTGTCTGAAATTCAAGCAAACAAAGTTTTTTTTTCTTGTACAAAAATGTTTCCCTATCCTCCTTGCACTAAAATGTGTGAGTAATATAAAACTCAGTTCTCAGTCCGGCACAAGGGATGCACGTTTGTTTATGGTTTGCATCAGGTGCTTGGATTAACAATGTGTAATCACGGCTGAGGGGTCAGTCAGAGTATGTGTTTTAGGCAGTTTTTGTTTATGTGCTCTTGAGTTCGGATGGACCCAGTAAGACATAGACTCCATCCTGCTTTGCCTTTAACCTATAGTGTAGCTTAAAGGGCAAACCATATGAAATAGAACGTAGGTTACATATTGTAACCACAGATTCTATGAATATTGTGCAGCCCTTTTAAGCACTGGGCCTCACTGGCTCGCAAGTGGCTGAAGAAAAAGTTATCTATTTGGGAGAACTACGGACCCATATGCTATTTATGCGATCTAGGGTGGGGCCCACACAGTGGGTGGGCGTGGACTAGTGTTTTTCAGTGTTTGGCGCGCTGCGCGTGGGGTGACACCCATAGTGTGGCTTAAAGGGCTGCACCATATTCATAGAATCTGTGATTACAATACGTAACCTACGATCTCTCCTATTAACTCATTATAACTCTGGCAGCAGCATTTTGGATCAACTGAAGACTTTAAAGAAGTTTTTGGACACCTAGGTAATAAACTAATGCAATAGTGCTAGATGATAAATGCATGGACCAGTTTTTCTGCATCATTTTTAGATAAGATAATTTTAGTGATATTACACAGTTGGAGGAAAGAGGTTCTGGTAACATTTTTAATTTGGGGGTTAAAAGACATGTCCTGATCAAAAATAACACCAAGATTTTTAGGCCAAATTAAGAATAATATGAGAATGTCTTGCGTTATAATTGGGATAAATTGACTTCAATTTGATTTGAATATGTATTTGTTTTGGATTAAACTGGATTTATGGTTTAGATTTGTTATGCGTAATGTGCTCTATTAGGAGGCAGAGCTTTATGTTTCAGTGGACCAAAACACTTTCTGTTCCAGTCTTGTACAATATGACAGTCAAAAATAATCAGGACAATATTTTAACTGTTTTAATATTTTGTCCCACTTTTCGGTGTCAAAAAATGGTGTTTTTAATAAACCCCAACTGGAAAGTGCTCCTGATGAGTTTTGTACCCAAGAAAAATAAAACTTAGACTGAGCAGTTTGTTACCTTTAAGTTCTAGTTGTGACTCCTCTCTCCTCCTTTCCAACTCCTTTCTGTCGTAATTCAGCCTCCTCAGACACATCACACCACACTGAAAGCTGTTCCTGTTCCACAAAAACACAGTTCTTTGTTGTTTACTCAAGGTTCAAGGTTCATTATTGTCATTCGTATCACATGTGGTACATAAGGTGGAACAAAATTGTAGGACTGTCACGATAATTTTTTTTTCTACTTTAATTTTTATTAACATTTTTCAATAGTAAATAACATTCCAAGGATATATCACATGCATTTTCCAGATTATGGTAGCCTAAGCAGGCCTCTCTTTCCAATAATAATTCCCCAAAATAACATTAAAGGGGTACACACACTCATACAACAACTATGAAAACAATTTTTTATGTAAAAAATAAAATAATAATAATAACAATAAAATAAAATAAATCTCGGGTCATAGGTGTCTATGGTCTAGAAATTCCGCTGTTAATGGCACTGAGTTTCATCATGTCTCTTCTTGGGTGTCGTACTGTGTCCATTTTCCCCACTTATTCAAAAAATATATATTTTTTTTTATTCTAAGAATGTAGGTCATTCTCTCCATCTCATATATGTCCCTAATAATATTGAGCCATTTTGTATGGAGGGAGCCAATATCTGGTACCAGTTTCTTGTTATAGCTTTTTTACATGCAATTAACAGTATCTTAATCAAATACATATCTTCATTCAATACACATATTTTTATATTTCCAAGAAACATTGTCTTAAAATCTTTTGATAATAGGTATCCCAAAATAGTTCTGATTGTATATAAAAAAGTTAAATATGGTCCTCTGGACATTCAAAAAACAAAACAAAGCAAAACAACAAAAATGTAGAAATGTTTCGTCTCTCATCCAAGAGACTTCCTCAGTCTGAGGAGCTGTATTCAGCTCAGTCTTATAAATAGCACCTTCTCAGAGTGGATCAACCAGTTTGCTGCTGACAACCAAAACCAGCTGATCACATGCTCAAGACAGACCATCAGCCTAACAATGGATCATTAACACACTGATGGCTGTTTACTGTTCACAGAGGGCTGAGTGATACTAGCAATCACAGCATTGTAAGAGGGGGACAGTTGAACATGGAGGATCTGCCCCTGTTTAATGATGGACAATTTATTTTTACAAAGATGGCCTCCTTTACTCCTCTCTCAAACCACTGTTCCTCTCTATCCAGGATGTGAACATCTTCATCCCTGAACGAGTGACCACTGGCCTAGAGACGAGTGTAGACCGCAGAATCCTGGCCTGATGATGTTGATCTTCTGTGCTGGTCCGTCCTTTTGGCCAGTGGTTGTTTAGTTTCCCCGATGTAAGACTGATCACAGCCCTCCTGACACTGAACAACATACACAATATTACTCTGGTTGTGCCGGGGGACTGGGTCTTTGCCGTAATGTATTTTGGGGTTTAAAAGCCACTGGGACGTTGTGTTTAGAAAATAAACATCTTAGTTTCTCTGATACTCCCTCAACATACGGAATGACCACTGGTCTGGGTCTGGGTTCCTCCTTTTCACCTGATGGCTGACTGGAGTCCTGTTTGGGTTTCTTCTCTGCTTTCAGGAAGGCCCAGTTAGGATATCCACATTGCTCTAGAGACTGTCTTGTGTGGGATTTCTCCTTCTGCCTGGCTCCTGAGTTAGTGGGGACGCTGTCTGCTCTGTGGTACAGAGTCCTGATGACTCCTAACTTGTGCTCCAAAGGGTGATGGGAGTCAAATTGCAAATACTGGTCTGTGTGGGTGGGTTTCGGGTACACCTCAGTTTGCAAATGTCCTCTATCAGAAACTGAGACCTCACAGATCAAGAAAGCCAACCTGCCATTTTTTACATCTTCTCGTGTGAACTTGATGTGTTTATCCACAGAGTTGATGTGGTCAGTAAAATGTTGGACTTCCTGAGATTTAATTTTAACCCAGGTGTCGTCAACATACCTGAACCAATGACTTGGTAGCGTCCCTGAAAAGGACGTCAAGGCTCTCTTTTCTACCTCCTCCATGTACAGGTTGGCAACAATAGGAGAAACTGGAGACCCAATAGCACTGCAATGTTTCTGCCTATAATATTGCTCCCACTATGTGAAGTAGGTTGACTGCAGGCACAGTTTCAAGAGTTGACACAGTTGTTCAGTGGAAAGTGTGGTCCTGCTGCTCAGAGTGGTGTCTGATTTTAATCTTAAACTGACCACCTCTAATGTAACTGTTTGTACCAGTTTGACAAGACTGTCAACAAGGAAGAGGGCCGGCAATGGAGGAGGGGGCGTACCAAAGAGACCATCTTATCACAAGCAGAACTGGTTTGTTCCACTTTGGAGTAAGCTGTAGGGGGAAGAATCAGTTTTGTTGTGTGTTTCCTTGACTGGTGAAGCCTTCTGGACCGAAGGCGAAATGTTTCAGCACAAAAAAAGAAACTGTGCAGATGGCCTGACTGAAAAATGTTGGATTGTATACTTGGATTATTGAGCATGGACTTTGTTGTTTTCAACCACTTTGACAAGACTGTCAACAAGGAAGAGGGCTGGCAATGGAGGAGGGGGCGTACCAAAAAGACCATCTTATCACACGCAGAACTGGTTTGTTCCACTTTGGAGTAAGTTGTTGGGGGAAGAATCAGTTTTGTTGTGTGTTTCCTTGACTGATGAAGCCTTCTGGACCGAAGGCGAAATGTTTCAGCACAAAAAAAAAAAAAAAGAAACTGTCCAGATGACCTGACTGAAAAATGTTGGTTTGTTGAAACAGTTCAGGATCTCATGCTTATTTGACACAGGAACAGAGTTAACAATAAGTTGTGATGAGATGGCAGATGATTGGGGGCTGCCTGAGAGAGATATGATGGTTTTCCAGAATATTTTAGGATCATTTAGATTTTTGGAGGTCTGAGATAAGAAATAGTTGCGTTTTGCTGCTTTGACAGCAGTTGTACATTTATTCCTCATCTGCCGAAAACTCAACCAGTCAGTGTCTGAGCCATATTTTCTCGCTGCAGCCCAAAGATGATCTCTCCTGTGAAGGAGGTCATCTAGCTCTGGCGTAAACCAGGGGCTGTCTCGTCCTTTTATTCTGAACTTGCAGAAATGAGCATGTTTGTTTACAAGTAAATGAAACTATTATGGAAATAGTTCCAAGTGGTGTTCACGTCGTCGATTAATAGAATACAATGCCAGTCAAAGTGAGATAAATCCCAGAGGAAAGACTGTACACAAAAACATTTCAAATCCCTGTTTTGAATTAATCTGGGTTTAGGATGTGGAAGTTTAGTGTCTCTGAGAGCCGTTAATACACAATGATCACTTAAAATATCAGCAAAAACATCTACACCAGGGAATTTGTGAGGCATATTTGTTAGAAACAGGTCTAAGATGGAGGATTTTTCAGAACAGCTATTGCTTCGTCTGGTGGGAGAGTCAATGAGTTGAGTCAGATTGAGTGACAGGCAAAATTATATGAATTTATCACAGAGGGGGTGAACTTTTCCCAGATGAAGTTAAAATCTCCGGCAAGTAAAACCTTTTTGAATTGTAGATTAGTTATGAAGTTTATCAGAGAAAACAGAGCCTCAGATGTTGCTGAGTGGGGACGGTAACAACCCACACATAAGATCTGGCCTCCACTCAAAGTGATGTTTACAACTAAAGGCTCCAGTATACTGCCACGTATGTCCGTTCACACATACGTACGCGTGTACGGTACGCAGAGGGTTTAGACATGATACTCGAGTGTACACCCCGAGCAGCTGCAGAGCAGCTTCACAGACAAGGGGCGTTTACCTTCGGGACAAATTGAGGTCGCCGATTGGTCATTTGCTGACATGCTTACTGGATTGATTGACAGGTCAGAAAAAAGAAAAAAAGCGAGTGCTGGCAGCCTCAGCCACAGCGGTGTTCTGTGTTTATATGTTGTTAATAAAAAGATCTAAAAAAACAAAAAAAACAGGGAGCGCTGGCTCTACAGCCCACACATCAGACCAGCCCACCAGGAAATCTCTAGACCCTTCCGCAGCCATGCTGGACCTGAGTTTAATTCGCTTGTGACAAATTTCTCCATTTCTCACCATTTCAGTCATGGCATCAACAGAGGAGGAAGAGATCACTGCCTCTTGGCAAAAAACAAAAGAAAAGGCCAGATCAGAGATGAAGAAGGGGAATTTAATACATTGTTGTCGCATACAAAACAGTCCGTCGCTGGGCAGTTTATTGTGCGACACCGCGTACGTGTATGCGGTCGTAAAAATTTGAGCTTTGCACGGAGGGTACGCTGGGGGGTACGCACGTATCTCTGTGTACGTACGTGCGTACCTCCGCGTATGGATGTACGCGGCAGTATACTGGGAGCTTAAGGCCTCAAATTGGTTTGGGATTGTTTTGGCTGACACAAGACTAGAGTCCAGGGTATCTCTGATCTAAATAGCGACCCCACCCCCACTTTTTTGACGATCACAGCAATAGATATTAAATCCATCGATTGCCAGGTCATTCAGTATTCAAGACAGATTTGTTTAGCCAGGATTCAGAAATGAAAATTACATAAGCCCCAGAAGAACGGACCAAAATTTATAAAGTGTCAAGTTTTCTCAAAAGACTACAGGCGCAGAAAACGAAGACCTGGCATGTTTTTAAAATCATTTGGTGTGCTATAATGGGGGGGTCCAGGGTTGGGCCGAATTTTCTTTAATTTATTTTTCCCAATTTATATGCTTTCTTTTATGATTGTCTACTGTTACCACTGTTGTCGTCATTCTTTGTTAAAATCAGGTCTCTTGTAAATGAGTCCCCGAGGCTCAATGGAATTAGCCTGTATAAAGGTTGAATGAAAAATTCATGGCAAAAACCAATGCAGACATGTTCCTGTTTTTAGTTTTCTACCTCGCTTTACATTATAGCTGTTTTTGTTTTGTTTTTTTAATATAATTTTCTTTCATTTATTCTTCCCAATTTATGTTTTCTTTTATGATTGTCTACTGTTGCCATTGTTGTCCACTGTTGTCATCATTCTTTGTTAAAATCAGGTCTCTCTTGTAAATGAGTCCTCGTAACGCAATGAGACTAATCTGTATAAAGGTTGACTAAATAAGAATCTTTCACTTGATACAAGCCAAGAAATTGGCATGAACAATGCCTAGGACCTACTTTTCCACAAAAATCATAGTCGCCTTCTGAAAGTCAACGATGATAGCCATTTTCCAAGATGGCCGTGATTTAAAGAGATGATGACAATTTAAAAATCAAGTAAGCACAAAAAATAAAGAAAAAGAAAGACAGTTTACATATCAGTGCAGTTAAAAGGGAAAGGAATATCTTGAAGCAAGACAAGAAAGGTCTAATGTAGATGCAAGAAAAAGAAAAAATTATCCATGAGTACAAAAAAAAGAGCTACAGAGTGTGATTTACTACTGAACTATTACATGTGAAATCCAAGAATTAAAAGGTTTGAAAATACTAATACTTAAAGTATGTCAGTTAAGCTGAAGTATTTGAGTACTTGAAATAGTTTTGAAAGCTGGAATCTGCAGGAAAATACCTTTAGCAGGACGCTGCAAAATTAAAAAAAGAAAAAAAAGCAGGTAGGCATGTTTTGCCCATCTTTCTGGTGCTCCTAGAAGGCACAGCTGCAAAGTCCATGTCATCTATCAGATGATGCTGACGGAGCCACTGGCAGCCAGCCACTTTCACCTGCAGACCTGGCTTTCATCTTCACCAGCATCAATACCCTCTGAGATGGCCTGCTTTCCAGTCAGCCTTACATTAAGTGCTTCAAGGTGGCCTCCCTGTCAACTAGAGCCCTCAATGCCTCTTCCATACTGATGGCTTACCAAGAGGAGTTGGATAAGACTGCTAAACCAGATACCCCCAAGTGGGAAGAAATGTCTGTCATTAATGTTCTTTGCCTCCACACAGTCAAGGGAAATTCTCCCCTCAGCTACTTAACACAAAGCAACAAGCCTGGTCACAGATACAACCATAGCATAACAAAAACTTGATCTACATTGTCTCATTTTTATACATTTAAACCAAAGAAACAATATGACATAATGTAATGGTTTACTTTTCAGCAGTGTGGTACACCTTGAAACTAGTAACTGAGCCTTTCCTAGTTGTGAATATATTCAGTTTAATATACCGGTAATATCAACAGTTGGTTATATGAAATTTGCAGTTTGAGTTTATGCAGATGACACAGTTGTGACGGCATCAACAAAGAAAGATGTGCAAAATATTTTTTGTATAGGATAAAGCATGTAACAGACTGAGAATCAGTGTGAGAAAAAAATCAATCCTAAACAAGGATCAGAAATTGTGTGTTTTAAACTGTACCTGTGGAAGCTGTCCACCATCTTCAGCTGTCCTCTCAGGTCCTTCTTGGTCAGGTGGTCGAGCATTCTGGCATCCACCAGGGATTCCATGAAGTATGAACGATATTGTGGAAGACCCAAACTGGGCAGCCACTCATTACCAATCCACTCGTGGTTCATGTCTCCATATGCCAGCGTCTATATTCAGAGAACATGAAGCTTTGTCAGAGTTGAAAATAAGGTATAATATGCAAATATATTTTTTTACTTTACTTAGAAGCTACTAGTTAAATTAGTTTATTGCTATCTTTGTGAGCTATGCTACCACAGCTAGTAACAATAGATGTCAGCAGTGAAGCCTGATTTCTGAACTTCAACATTTGCAAACACAAATATTTTATTTGAATAACACACAAATGAAAAAGTTGAGCAAAAAAAAAAAAAAGTTTAAATGTATGCGTGTGTGTGTGCAAATAAAATAAGAAAATATAAATACATACATATACACACAAAAATATATACACATTTATACACTAATACATATACAGTGAGGAAAATAAGTATTTGAACACCCTGCGACTTTGCAAGTTCTCCCACGTAGAAATCATGGAGGGGTCTGAAATGTTCATCTTAGGTGCATGTCCACTGTGAGAGATATAATCTAAAAAAAAAAATCTGGAAATCACAATGTATGATTTTTTTAGAATAATTTATGTGTGTTACTGCTACAAATAAGTATTTGAACACCTGCCAATCAGCAAAAATTCTGGCCCTCAAAGACCTGCTAGTCCACCTCCACTCCACTTATTAGTCTAAATCAGAAGCACCTGTTTGAGGTGGTTAGCTGCATAAAGACACCGGTCCACCCCACACAATCCGTAAGACTCGAACTACTAACATGGCTAAGACCAAAGAGCTGTCCAAACACACCAGAGACAAATTGTAGACCTCCACAAGGCTGGAAAGGGCTACGGGGCAGTTACCAAGCAGCTTGGTGAAAAAACATCAACTGTTGGAGCAATTATTAGAAAATGGAAGAAGCTAAACATGACTGTCAATCTCCCTCGGACTGGGGCTCCATGCAAGATCTCATCTCGTGGCGTATCAATGATCCTAAGAAAGGTGAGGAATCAGCCCAAAACTACACGGGAGGAGCTGGTCCATGACCTGAAGAGAGCTGGCACCACTGTTTCCATGGTTACTGTGGGTAATACACTAAGACGTCATAGTTTAAAATCATGCATGGCACAGAAGGTTCTCCTGCTTAAATCAGCGCACGTCCAGGTCCGTCTTAAGTTTGCCCATGACCATTTGGATGATCCAGAGGAGTCAAGGGAGAAAGTTATGAGGTCAGATGAGACCAAAATAGAACTTTTTGGTCTTAATTCCACTCGCTGTGTTTGGAGGACTAAGAATGAGTACCATCCCAAAAACACCATCCCTACTGTGAAGCATGGGGGTGTAAGCACCATGCTTTGGGGGTGTTTTTCTGCACACGGGACAGGACGACTGCACTGTATAAAGGAGAGGATGACCGGGGCCATGTATTGAGAGATTTTGGGGAACAACCTCCTTCCTTCAGTTGAAGCACTGAAGATGGGTCGTGGCGGGGTCTTCCAACATGACAATGACCCGAAGCACACAGCCAGGAGAACCAAGGAGTGACTCCATAAGAAGCATATCAAGGTTCTGGAGTGGTCTAGCCAGTCTCCAGATCTAAACCCTATGGAAAATCTTTGGAGGGAGCTCAAACTCCGTGTTTCTCAGCGACAGTAGTGATTTATCTAAAAACCGGATTCCAAAATGGTTGGGACACTAAACAAATTGTGAATAAAAACTGAATGCAATAATGTGGAGATGGCAAATGTCAATATTTTATTCGTAATATAACATAGATGACAGATCAAAAGTTTAATCTGAGTAAATGTAACATTTTAAAGGAAAAATATGTTGATTCAAAATTTCACAGTGTCAACAAATCCCCAAAAAGTTGGGACAAGTAGCAATAAGTGGCTGGAAAAAGGAAATTGAGCATATAATGAACAGCTGGAAGACCAATGAACACTAATTAGGTCAATTGACAACATGACTGGGTATAAAAAGAGCTTCTCAGAGTGTCAGTGTCTCTCAGAAGCCAAGATGGTAAGAGGATCACCAAGTTCACCATTGTTACGCAGAAAGATAGTGCAGCAATACCAGAATGGTGTTACCCAGCGTAAAATAGCAAAGACTTTTAAGTTATCATCATCAACCGTGCATAACATCATCAAAAGATTCAGAGAATCTGGAACAATCGCTGTACATAAGGGTCAAGGCCGTAAAACTCTACTGGATGCTCGTGATCTCCGGGCCCTTAAACGTCACTGCACCTCAAACAGGAATGCCACTGTCAAGGAAATAACAGAACGGGCTCAGGAATACTTCCAGAAAGCGTTGTCAGTGAACACAATCCACCGTGCCATCCGCCGTTGCCAGCTGAAACTCTACAGTGCAAAGAGGAAGCCATTGCTAAGCAAGCTCCGCAAGCTCCACAAGCTCAAACGTTTGCACTGGGCCAGGGGTCATTTAAAATGGAGTGTGGCAAAATGGAAGACTGTTCTGTGGTCAGATGAGTCACGATTTGAAGTTCTTTATGGAACAATGGGACGCCATGTCATCCGGACCAGAGAGGACAAGGATAGCCCAAGTTGTTATCAACGCTCCGTTCAGAAGCCTGCATCACTCATGGTATGGGGTTGCATGAGCGCTTGTGGCATGGGCAGCTTGCATGTCTGGAAAGGCACCATTAATGCAGAGAACTATGTTCAGGTTCTAGAACAACATATGCTCCCATCTAGACGTCATCTCTTTCAGGGAAGACCCTGCATTTTTCAACACGATAATGCCAGACCACATTCTGCAGCAATCACAACATCATGGCTACGTAGGAGAAGGATCCGGGTACTGAAATGGCCAGCCTGCAGTCCAGATCTTTCACCTATAGAGAACAATTGGCGCATCATAAAGAGGAAGGTGCGACAAAGAAGGCCCAAGACGATTGAACAGTTAGAGGCCTGTATTAGACATGAATTGGAGAGCATTCCTATTTCTAAACTTGAGAAACTGGTCTCCTCTGTCCCCAGACGTCTGTTGAGTGTTGTAAGAAGAAGGGGGGATGCCACACAGTAGTAAAAATGGACTTGTCCCAACTTTTTTGGGATTTGTTGACGCCATGAAATTTGGAAACAACAGATTTTTCCCTTAAAATGATACATTCTCTCAGTTTAAACTTTTCATCTGTGATTTGTGTTCTATTCTGAATAAAATATTAGATGTTGGCACCTCCACATCATTGCATTCAGTTTTTATTCACAATTTGTTTAGTGTCCCAACTTTTTTGGAATCCGGTTTGTAATTGCACATAACATTACTTTTAAGGTTTGATGGAAATCATGAAACAACAATTTTACTTCTGTGAATAACATTAATAATAACCTGTTCAAGTTGGGAAAAAAGTACTTTTTAGTCTTTGTTTGAAAATTGTCAAATCTCTAAATGTGCTTTATTGGGGGGGATGAGGGTGGGAATTGAAAAAGACATCTTGAATCTTGACGTGAGCTTAGCTAAAGCCACTTTTGCTCTCGTCTTCTGTTTGTACTGCAGCTTTTTGCACAGGTAATAAGCCTAACGCCAATGTCCCCCATCGCTGACAGAGTTGAATAATTAATGTTTGCAGCCTTTGAGATGAGATTTTTTTGGACCACATTAGAACAAGTAATGCAAGTGAACCTTGTGTTTGGTACAAAGTAATAAAGTTAGTAGGAGTTACACTATGTAAGAGGTAAGTTTTTCTTTTTTTCTTTGGCCAAGGCGGCGCAGAGTGATGGATCCTGGTGAGCCGAAACAGCAGTTACCGGTATATGCACCACCAGGTTTGTTTTCAGATATATGGTGGTAGACATTTTGGATTTTCATGTGGTCAACCAATTTTCGATAGGGACCTTTCTTATGCCTAGATGCAAGCACAGTGGTCCCTCGCTACCTCGCGGTTTGTTTTTTGTGGACTTGCTCTATCGCGGTTTTTTAAAGTAAGATTGGACATGACACGCAATTGTCTGACTGATGGATGAGCTGCATGATCGGCATGGAATTTAAACATGAATAAATTATTAATAAATTAATAAATTATTTTAAATTATTTAGCCCCTGCTGCACCTGTGTGCAGCCCAGAGATGCAGAGGAAGCTTCTCCTGCAGCTGTGTGCAGCTAAGAAATGCAGAAGATATTTCCAAAGTCCTTCTTTTCTTGTCAACAGGGGTCAAAAACAACTGCTTACTGATGTACAGTTGAAACCAGAGGTTTACATACACTATTTAAAAAGACATGCATTTTTTTCACACTGACGTGAAATCAGAATAAACTTTTCCCGTTTTAGGTCTGTTAGGATTGCCAAAAATGTTCTATCTGCAAAATGCCAGAATAATGAGTGAGAATTTCTTAAGGTAATTTTCATTACTTTCTTCAAAGTCAAAAGTTTAAATACACTAAGATTACTATGCCTTTAAACAATTTGAAACATTTAATGTCATGTCTTTGGAAGCTTCCGATAGGTTTATTGATAACATCTGAGTTAATAAGACACACCCCCGTGGATGTAATTTAAGGAACACCTGAAACACACTGCTTCCTTGTGTAACATCATGGGAAAGTCGAAAGAAATCATCCAACATATCATAACAATTGTGGACTTCCACAAGTCTGGTTCATCCTTGGGTACAACTTCCAGATACCTAAAGGTGCCTCGTTCATCTCTATAAACAATTATAAGTACAAACAAAATGGGAATGTCCAGCCATCATTCCTCTCAGGTAGGAGACGGATTCTGTGTCCCACAGATGAACGTGCTTTGGTCTGAAATGTGCATATCAACCCAAGAACAAAAGCAAAAGACCTGGTGAAGATGCTGGCTGAAGTTGGTAAGAGTGTGTCATTATCCACAGTGAAACGAGTACTGTATCGACATGGGCTGAAAGGCCACTCTGCCAGGAAGAAGCCATTACTTCAAAAGAAACATAAAAAAGTCAGATTCAAGTTTGCAAATGCACACTTGGAACAAAGACCTTAATTTTTGGAGACATGTTGTGTGGTCTGACAAAACTAAAATTTAACTGTTTGGCCCATAATGACCATCATTACGTTTGGAGGAAAAATGGGGAAGC